ATATCAGACAAAGCTAACCTGAGTAAATACAAAAACATTTTAAAAAGGAGTCTCTGCCTAATCTGGTTAAACATGAAATAGTTGTCCCCTTTAAATCATGAGTTAACTGAATAACCTATAGAAACCACGCAACAACATCAAGAAAACAAACACACAAAAATCTAGGACATATAAGAAACAGAGATTATACAAAAGTTTAGCAGCTGGACAATATTCCACCAACATGCCAGCCAGTCCACTTCTAAATAGAAACAAAGAAGATGCTTTCGGTGTAGCCTAGACAAAGTAAGCTCATATCTAATTGAGATATAAAATGTTTTCTCAATTTCATTACATCAATAATTTTGAAATATCACTATATGTTTACAGTCTGATTTTACAATCTGATTCACTATATGTTTACAATCTGATTTTGTTTCCACATGAGATAATTCAGTGTTATTGGAATATTTTGTGTCATTTTTGTTGGACTTCTTGTCTGCATCTTTTACAGTAGCTCATTTATCTTAAGGCTTTAAGTGAAAGTTTAGCACAGAAAAAAAACACTGGAGTGTATTGTAAACACTGAGAAAAATACTGCCAGTCATGATTCACACAACATGAGAAAACATTTTTATTTCTTAGTTCACAATTCACTTAACACCATTTGCATTTACAAATGATTTCTTACGAATAATTGTAAGGCAAGAGGGTGTTTAAAGCTGAAGAGTCACAGCATTTTATATCATGTTAAAAAAGTGACATCATAGAATAAAATATTTTATTTTACGCAGAGTAACCCATAATAGCAGAAATGTATCCACATTGGTTTGAGTTTTGTTTTACTTCCTGTCCAGCATCAACGGTCGTAATTGTTCTGTCTATGACGTGTTTCCTGGGAGTGGTGATCTGCTCAGTCCGTGTCATTTCCTTTCTTTGGCACATCCTGGTTTTGGTGTTCAAGGCCCTTTGGTCGTGACTCAAAATAAGGTCTGTAGATGTAGATGCCACCAGCGACCCCAAGCACCGTGGCTAATAGCAGCTGTGAGAACGGCAGCCTTTGTCGAAACATTACTCTTGTTTGACAAGGAATCCAGATCTATAGACCCCTAACCATCCTGAAAAAGATGACCAACAGGTGAATTATGGGAATGGTTGAACAATTTCTGTGCTGTGTTGAAGTTTACATCCATAGCTTTTAAGACATTTTAATCTTACAGGCTGCGGAAGTTATCAGTTAATGCAATAAAATTAAAAAAAAAAAAAAAAAATCAAGGTCAATATCTGGTGGTATACACCAGTATAACCACACTACAGATTTTTTACTTTCAAAAATAATACCAAAATGAAAAAGTAGTGTGTACAAAACTCAGCACATTATCATAGTTTCCACATATGAGGCAGAAAGTTGGGTGCAGCAAATTAAATGCATTTGATAATCTGATCATCATCAGTGTGTGTAGACAGAATGGCAAAATAAAAAGATAAATATGAAAAAAAAAAAAAAAAAAAAAAAAAAACTAAACTGTTGCCCCACATCAAGCTGGGATGCAATATGAAAATATATCTAAAAATCTGTCATTCAAAAGCAAGAATAATTATTTTGCCAATCCTCCCAGGAGTGGCTGGCTTGTGAATTCAGCAGAGAGTTGTAATTTAGAAATTGTATTAAAATCCTGAATTTCACTTCTTACAGCCCTAAGTTAGAATGTTTAATGTTGACAGGAAGGTTGGGAAAATACTAAATAAGTATGGCTTATTTAAATGGGGTTGTGAGGGGAAAAAAATCCATCTTAACCTGTTGTTCACAGGTTGTCATTCAGGGGTGTCAAACTCCAGTCCTCAAGGGCCGCTGTCCTGCAGTGTTTAGATGTGCCACAGGTAAAAAACAGTGGAATTAAATGGCTTAATTACCTCCTCCCTGTGTAGATCGGTTCTCCTGAGCCTTGCTAATGACCTAATTATTCTTTTCAGGTGTGGTGCAGCAGAGGCACATCTAAAAGTTGCAGGACAGAGGCCCTTGAGGACTGGAGTTTGACACCTCTGTCACGAGAGGACCCAAATTTGGGTCCTCTCGTGAATAACAGGCTAAGAGATATAACAACTGTCCAGCACTGAGGGTGGAGGAAACCCAACTTTTATATATTATTCTTATTCTTAAAATAAGAATAAGAGCACAAATACACTCTGGACGGTGTAAAGCTTATCTGCAGTATAAAGCCTTCAGATAAAGGAACATTAACTCTTATAAAAATAATTCACCAGTATCCAACAAACTCGAACAGCAGCCCCGAAATGGCATCTTACTTTGAAAAGTCCCGACCGGATAATGACAGTGTGTGACACCACCTTGACAATATGCTAACCTTTTCATTGAACAATGATCAAGCATGACATTTTTAACTAATGCAGAGATAATTATCTGCAACGTCCATCACTCACCAGTGAAGCGCTTTATGCAAAGTGACTGTAATCACCAGACAGAAAAGGGGAACAGGCAGATAAAAGAGAGGAAAGGCGTTAAAAGAGAAAAACAAACAGGACACTTATTTATGTAAGGACGGATAGCATTCTTCTTCGTCTGTTCTGACAAGTGAAGAGACGCACAGCGCCACCGAGCGAATGACAGGAATTAAAACATGGCTCATAAGAGCAATGACATGACCCGTGTTTTTCAATAAAAAATAATTTTAAAAATAAAATTAGCCACATTAAGTTTTACTAAAATATACATCTATAAAAGGTGGCGTAGTAAAGGTAGCTTCTTCCTTCCTTCCTTTCTTCCTTCCTTCCTTCCTTCCTTCCTTTCTTTTTCTTCCTTTTTATAAAAAATAAGATTGCGTTTGACATGATCGTTTATATTTGTAATACTTGTTTTAATTAATAATTACAGATTTCTTTTTAGTTCAACGTCATAATTTAATAGGTTAAAATTATTTTAAAAATTGTAATTTCAAGATTGTACATGTATACTAACTATACTATTTTACTTGCTGGACAAATAAAATTGGCTTACAAACCAATCGTAATCCAGTTTACTTACCATAAAAAAACTAAACAGACTGGAAAAACAAGAACTTTTACTTTGAAGTTGCGACACAACCAAAACACCGGAAATAAGCGTGAGTGCGGAAGTGTTGATGACCGTGTGTAATGTGTCCAAACTAGGAAGTTAAAGCAGATAAAAACATTTTTTATAGAAGTCAAATAAGCAGGGAAATTTGCGGAGTTAGCAGCTGCAACCTCGGGTTAAAACAGTTTATTTGCAGTACGGTGCTTTCTCTGTGTTAGATTCTTCGAGGTCTCGGCCGAGTTGTGCTCTGACAGGTGAGTCATGCCCCCCAGCAGCACGTAAGGATGGAGAACTTGCGCTCTCGGCTGAAGCTGGGGAGCAAAGCAAAGGATGTGAAGCTGAGGAAACGGAGGTCCCTGCTTTACTCCAAGGAGGATGGGAGATTTTTAAACCACGGTGCTGTGACTTACTCACCTCCATCTGCCATTAAACGCTGCTGCTGCTGTTGAGTGCAGTCAGGAAATTCCTGTTCCAACTCAGATGCAGTTATTTATCTCCACAGGTCTACTGAAGGTGGTTGTCTTCACTGTGGTGTTCAGGCTGGTTAACTGTGTCCTGGTTCAGACCAGTTTTGTCCCTGATGAGTACTGGCAGTCCCTGGAGGTGGCCCATCGGATGGTCTTTAAATATCCTTTGTCAATGTCCATAATTATTTAAATAAAAATTTCAATAGCATGAATCAACTGTTCAGAAGACAGATTTTCAAGTAGGCCCATCACGATAACAAATTTTGTTAGATGATAAATAATGTTGTTCAGTTCAGACCATTTTGAAGTAAAATAATAATGACAACACATTCTCAAAGATCAATAAACTTTAAAATATAATCACACATTATGTGCAGATGTTTGCCTTGAACAGCAGCAGTGGTGTTACTTTTGTTTTGCATGGCAGAGATCAGCACCATGTTCTCTGGTTTTATTGTGGGATATATCCTTTTATTGAGGTTATAACCTTAATAATTAAACATACGGGTATCTGACATGGGAGTGGAAAGCAGGAATCAGAGGATTCACATTTCCATTGTTCTTTGCATTCCTGTACAAAATACTCCACCTTCTGAACTACGACTCAGTCCATCTCCTGGTGAGTTGCTCTATTTTATTCTCGGAGCAACACTTTTTTTTTTTTGACTTCATGAGTCATGGAGTTTATGTGGGTTTGTTGTGGTTGCAGATTTGGCTTCCTCGAGTAGCTCAAGCTCTCCTGGCTGCGTTCGCTGATGTGAAATTCTACCTGCTCATCCGAACATTGGAAACTGAGGACGTCTCAAGATGGACGGTAGGAAAACCTCGTCGTTGTCATGTTCCTCTCTCCAGGACACATTCCTTTCCGAATACAACAAACATCTGGAACCCGGTAAATGAATTAAAGTGAGAACAGCTTGTTCATTTATATCTTGGATCACTCTGCAGTTTCACAGGGGTCATACGGACTCTTGAAAAGTCTGGGATTTGCTTGTAATAATTTACAGATTTGTTTAAGTGTGGGAAACAGCAAACTGTGCAAAAAGTTCAAAATTTTCTGAAAATTTTTTTTTATTTCATGAAGGACAAAATCTAATCATGAATAATAAATGCAGGTGTGTTAACACTAATTTATGTTTAAATGAAAAGTTCTATCTATAATTTGCCAAATTATATTTGTTCACAAATCAATAAAGCACTATTACACTACGTTTTTTTTTCACTCTTGAAATTTTAAATTCAGGTTGAATGTGGGTCTTAAACAGGGTCTGGTTAAAAAGACACTGAAGTTTACAAACTGTGCTTTGATTAATGTGCACCCAGTCCTGATCTGGTAAGTCCAAAGGTTGTAGTTTGTGAAATAGAGCTGATCTAAGTTCGTCCAGATGACATAAAAGCAATGGAAAATCTTAAGCGGGTTTCAGTAATTTGTTGTTGTTCATTGAATCCACAGTACATAATCTTAACTCAAATGCAACAACGTTATAACAAGTGGGGAACAAACATTTAGATTGAATCTGGAGGAATGTGGAGTTTTGAAATGAACCTGTTCTGGTTTCCAGTTCTTTTGCCACCTGTGCTCCTGGTTCTCCTGGTTCTGCTGCACCAGGACTCTGACGAACACCGCTGAGACCACCCTCACCTGTTTGGCTCTGTTTTACTTCCCACTGCCGGGGTCCAAAACTTACAGCAGGTGAATGCCAGTTAGCACATTTAAGTTCACATTTTGCATGCTTTTGTTCTTCGTTTTGGGTCTCTACTGCTTCTAAAACAGTGAAATGTTTTTTTTTTTTTTTTTAAATCCCACCAAGCTGTATTTTTTGGGAATAAATTAATGTGTTTTTCTGTCTGAAAAATGAGCCGTTACGTCACATTCAACTGGCGCTGCGCTGTTACCTAGCAACCGCAGCCGTGCCCAGGGCCGTTACCTAGCAACCCCTATGGAACTAGAGCAAGTTTAGTCAACTGGTTTTACCGCTGTGTGGATGTTGGAAAAGACAAGAGTTTTGTTGTTTCCTTACATCCAGAAAAGACCTCTGCATAATGTTACAAGATGGCTGTATATTCATAGACATCAATTAATGTCTATGTGTATATTTGCGTATCTGTTTGCAGCCATTTTGACGTAAACGTTGAGTTTCGAGGGCGTGGCCGGCAGCAGGTCATTTGAATTTAAAGTGACAAGAGGCCCTAAAACGTCTCATTCTGAAAGGAGCTAAAGAAAGACAGAACTGAAATCTCATTAACTAAGAATAATGCTGTGCAAAAAATTTCATGAAAATGTTTTCTATAGCTCATAAATCTATCCTCATCCATTCAAGGAAGCACAATAGGTCACCTTAAAGTGTTTTTTTTCCCTCACCGGTTTTGTTATTTTCCAGTAAAAAGTACTTGTCTCTGGTGGCCTTGGCTGTGCTTGTGCGCCCGACGGCCCTGATTGTCTGGTTTCCTCTGCTGATGTGCCATTTCTGGCAGGAGGAGGACAAACTGAGACTCATCACTCACCGCTACATTCCCATAGGGTGTGTGCTCTCAGCCTCATGAACGTGTACCCGGGTCTCACCTCCTTTCCTCACTGCTTCATATTCTCTCATTTCCAGGATTTTGGCGGTTCTGATTTCGGCACTGATTGACTGTCTGTTCTACGAAAAGGTAAAACAGAGCTAGTAGCTTCGATGTCTAAGGTCAGATAGTAAGAGCTGGTCTCTGTTCCAGTGGACTTTGGTGCAGCTCAACTTCATAAAGTTCAACATCCTGCATGGCGTGGCAGATTTCTATGGCTCCCACCCCTGGCACTGGTACTTCAGCCAGGGCTTCGCCGTTGTCATCGGCCCCCATCTTCCTTTCTTTCTACATGGATGCATCCTCGCGTTCAGGAAATACAGAATCCTGCTGGCCACAGTCCTGTGGACTATTGTTGTTTACAGGTAATCTGAACTGAAGAGTAGAAAACCATGATTGTGAGGTTTGCAGAATTAATCCATGAATATTTTCTCTCCTCAGTTTCCTTCCTCACAAGGAGTTCAGGTTCATCTACCCTGTGCTGCCATTCTGCATGATCTTCTGTGGTTGGTTTCCACTTTTAATTAAACCCAGAGTGTTGGGACATATTCATAACAGAGGTGTGTTTTATCACAGGAATATCTCTGGCTCATCTCAAAGCGTGGCGACAACCAGCTGCAGCTCTCCTCCTGGTGTCCAACCTGGTTCTGGCTCTGTATACGGGTCTGATACACCAGCGAGGCACTCTGGATGTCATGAGCCATCTTCAGGGGCTTTGTGAGGTCAGCAGCGACTCCGCCCGCCCGCAGTCCGATATCTTCTTCCTTATGCCCTGTCACTCAACGCCTTTCTACAGGTACACACACCAAAACACCTCCAGCCCATCAGAGCTTTATAAGGTAGACTGTTGCCTGAACTGCAGCAGAAGTTAAATAAGAGGAACATATAACCTCCAAGACCATGGAGGGTGTAATGTTGTTACATTAAAAATGGTGAGCAATATCTCCAATATATATATACATTTTTTAGATGAACTCAAATTCAAATAAGGTGGAAGTTTCTAAAGTTTAGTGTCTAATTTATCCCCATAACCATAATTAACTAGCTTGAATGTTTCTTAAAATGCACATACAGTGCTGTAAAAAACTAATGACCACTTAAAATGACCAATTTCTCTGATTTTACTTTTTATAGGTATATGTTTGAGTAAAATGAACATTGTCCTTTTATTCCGTGAACTACTGACATGTCTCTGAAATTCCAAGCAAAAATGTATTCATTTGCAGAAAATGAGAAATGGTCAAAATAACAAAAAAGATGCAGTGCAAAGAAAAGTTTAAACTGTTTTACCTCAGGAAGAGTTCAGAAACCAATGTTTGGTGGAATAACCAGGGGTCTTCAAAAGGGTTAAGTGCAGTAGACTCTTCACTTTTTCCAAACTGTATATAGCTATTCATAATTTTTTTGTAATTTGCATCAAATGTGTCAAACTTTTTTGCAAATTTGGTGATATTTCTTCAGGCTGTTAAAAACTTCTTTGAACTTTGCTGCTTTTAAGCTTTTTATTGTTGCACTTCAAGCTACAAATCAGGCATTAAAAAAAAAAAAAGGCTCCAAAACTCCACAGATGAACAAAGGTTTAATCCATAGTAAATACTTTAGCAGAAAATACTTTTTAAATTAGCAGATAACATTTATTTAATGAAATCCCAGAAAACAGCAAAAAGTGTTTTAGCACTAACAACAGGATAAAATGGTTAATTTTCTTTTAGACCTAACAAAAGCATAAAAAAGACTTGCGAAAAGCCCCATAAGTCCTGAAGAACCACTATAAGAAAGCCTTGCTGCTTAAAAGACTCAGCTGGTTAAAACCTTTGTTATTTCCACATGGTAGCTGACAGTCGTCTGTCTCCTCGTAGCCACGTCCACTGTCCTCTGAAGATGAGGATCCTGGAGTGTCCTCCAGACCTCGGAGAGGACGGCTACGCTGAAGAAGCTGCACAGTTTTACAGCAATCCTCTCCTCTGGCTCCGGACTGCCTTTCCATACAAATCCTCCCTGCCAACACATCTGGTTTTGTTTGACGTTTTGGAAAAGGTAAGGCACTAATACAGACTCTTTGTGCAAATATCCGATGTGTAGATTAAACAGGTTTTGTTTCTTAACTGTAGGAGATTTCGACATTCCTGCAAGCGAATAACTTCACGAGGACAGCAGAGATATTTCACACTCACATTCCCGAGGGAAGAGTTGGAGGAAGCATTTTTATTTATGAAAGGCACTGAAAAAAAAAACCTAGCAGAAACGCCAAGGAAAATGTAACAATTTGCTACTGTAATAAATATTTTAAACTCCAATGTTTCCGTTTTAAAATCTCATTTCCAACCACAGTGAATTAGTTGTTGATTTCCAGTCTTTTGTCAGAGAAGCACTTGAAGCTGAAGTAAAACAAGCAGGTCCAGTTAAAACAAGGTGGAATGTTAGAAAACAGCGTCTGAACTCTGAAAGCTGATCTGAACCAAAACACCAACCGGCTACAAACTAAACACCTCTAGGATTGAGTTTGGCCTGGTATATCATTATAAGTTATGTTAAATTTTCCTCTTACATGATATTTTGTTTTATTTTTTGTGATGTATGTTAATTTAGCAGGATTCATAAGGAAAGTGAAACCTTTAAATTGTTAAACACAGAACAGCTGTGGGACATTCAGCAGCTCGACAAGGATTGTGCAAACTTACAAAAAAAAAAAAAAATAGAGGATGTGCGTCAAAAAATAAAACTCACAATTTAAGGGAAACCCTTATCATGAATTATTTTCAGTATTTGGGGTCAAAGGGCATTGGGCCCAGTTCGATTTTAACATCAGCCATGTGCCTGTCTGCGTTTCTTCCTGATCGGCTCCACCTCCGACCGCAGTGAGGATGAGATTTACCCCTCGGCTGCTTCCTCGCCCTCCACTCTTCCTTTGGGTCTTCAGCTCTCTGAAACGGCCCCCTGTGGAGTAGAAACAAAAAACAAATAAATCACCACCATGAGACAGTTAAGAGTTTTACAAGCAGGAAATTATGCTGCATTGGGGATGCAAAAGATGCAGAAATTCAGTGGTAAGGTACAGGTAAGGTACTCGTGTGTGTGTGTGTGTGTGTGTGTGTGTGTGTGTGTGTGTGTGTGTGTGTGTGTGTGTGTGTGTGTGTGTGTGTGTGTGTGTATATATATCTCCAAAATTATGAGGTGGAGGGAAATTTCTTATAAATTCAAATCTGAAAAGAGTGGTGTGCATTGGTATTCAAATCCCGCTACTCTCAATAAAATCATCTTCAGCCGCCATCTAAATAAAAAATAATTTAACCTCAGTATAAATCCAGATGCTCTATGAAGGTCTCAGAGGTCTGTTGGAGAACAAACAGCAAAATGAAGACAAAAATACAAAACATGGCCCTCCATCTAAACCAGGCATGACCAGAGTGCAAACTTCAATTCAAGAACGATCCAAAAGTGGCCGTGCTTCATTAAGAAATGGTTACAAAGTAAACAGTTTGTCTTTTAATAACCAAGCTTTTCGCATTTTCTTTAGTTTCATAGGAACAATCTCATCCATTCAGTGACTTTTAACTCAACTTCTCCTGAACACAGCTAATTAATCTAAAACCTGATCATTTGTTTACGTTCCCCAGTTGTTTCTGTGTTTTTTTTTAACCATTTTTATTCAATTACTTAACTTGCCTTTCAGTTTCTTTTTTTTAATTTCGCTCTTTCTTTTGTGCACAATGTGAATAAAAGGACTTCTGATTCTGATTCAGCTAAGCAAAGTCAATGGCTTCAACTAACTCACTCTCTGGTTACCTAGCAACTTAATAATTCTTTGGTTACCTAGCAACAACCTGTTGGGTAACTCGCATTGCAGCATTCTACATTTTTTTCCACTGTGTCTCTCATAACTGCTTAAAAATAATTTTAAAAAAAAATCAATTGCGAGGAGTGAAACAGGAAACAGGAAAGATCACCTCACCAGTTTGGCAGCATTTTAGGTATTTAAAACAAACAAAACTAATCAATAGTTATTAATACAAATTGATATGAAACTCTTATACCATTACACATTTTTCAGCCACATCCTCCTGCCCTAATTAGATGGAGGCAGTAGATATAACTTTAATGTTTTCTTCCCTGGAATCAGATTTTAATCCTTACATTATTTTAAGTTAAAGTCTCTCATTGCAGGAGTTCCTCAGATGTTGCATGCCTGCAAAACAAGCCGGTCTTAGCTTTGAGCGCACCATCATTTGGGAGGATATTTCAGTCTGCAGGGGACCTACCGCGGACCGTAGCTCCTGGCGTAGCCTTCTCCGAAGAAGTGCCTGTAGATATAGTCATCAAGGTCTCCGAACACGTCGCCGTCCAGGCGGCGGTATTCACGCATGTCGCTCAGGTAGCTCTCCACTCTGCCTACGAAGTCTGTGAAGAGCATGCGGTCGTGGATGAAGAGTCCGTTGTGAAAGAAGTCGTTGATGAACGTCCTGAGTTCGTTCCAGTGGTAGAAGTGGTCGACCTCCTGCTGCAGGTAGCTCTGCAGCAGGAGGTCGAACTCTTCGGCTCGGATCGGCTCGGTGGCTTTGTTGAAGAGGCTCATGGACTCCAGGTAGGCGCAGTCGAAGACGCCGGTGCAGCCCTTCATGCTGCTCTTGTGGCTGCGCTCGTCCTCGTCCTGGACAACCTTCCCGGCTGATTTCCGTGTGTTGCACTGGTTCTGGAAGGAGTCGGGTGTGCGTCTGGGTTTCTGCGCTCTGTGCTGCCAGGACTCCTCTGTGTTTGCTCTGTCACATTTCTTGCTGTAAAATCCCTGGGCTTTGTTGATGAACGTCGAGGCTGAATCCTTAAAGTGTCTGAAAGTTGATTTGACGGAGTCAGAGAACTTCCTCAGGTTTTCCTTCACAGCCTCCTTGGCTTTCTTAATCTGCTCCTTATGGTGGTGGACGAACTCCTTGGTGGAGTTTTTCACAGCATCGAATGTCTCCTTCATCTTCCCGGCCATTCCCTGTTTAGCTCTCCTCACTTTGGATTCTCGGTCTCCTTTGACCTTCTCCGCCTTGGTTTCCACGTACAGCCTCTCCCACAGGTCGGAGCGCTGCTGCTCGAAGCTCAGCCTCTTCTCCAGATCCAGCAGACGTTTCTCCAAACCTCCTGCTTCTGAAGCACTCTGCCTGTCAGATTCAGAAACGTGGCTCCTCAGAGCGGTCAGCTCCCTCCTCAGCTCCTCCGTGACCTTGCTCTCTTTCTCCAGCTTCTTCCTCAGCATGTGAGCTTCAGCCGTCATGTCTTCCCTCTGAAGGTGGAAGTTTCTGATGGTCTGCTGCTCCCCCTCCAGCTGCTCTTTCAGCCTCTGGTTTTCAGACAGCAGAGAATCGGCTCCAGCTCCCCTCGCCTCCAGATCTCTGATTTGGGAGCGCAGGTTTCTCAACTCGTCCTGCAGGACAGACAGAGACTTTTCCTTACGTGCCATGGAGTTTCTCAGCTGGACGTTTTCATCTGAGAGACTCTGCTGCAGAGACATGATTTCAATCCTCTCCTCCTCGGTCTGTTTCAGCATCCGCTCCAGGTTATCTCTCTGAACCTTGATGAGAAAATACACATATTTACAGCTTGTCTAATACTTAACATCTAACTTTAGTTTTTTTTTTTTTTTTTTTTACATATTTGTGAAACTGTCACTATGTTCTGACAAAGATAATCTGTGAAAAACAATCAGCTTCCTCTGCCTTCTCCTAGTGCTAACTAAGAACAACCATGCAGAGACAGGAGGCGGGTCTTAGCGCTGTCAATCACTCTGCTCTCTGCTCTGCTACAGCTAGCACAGCCTGTCATGAATGCTCAGGCTAGTTAGCAGAGCCTCCAATGACGGAGGATAAACTGTTTTTTTCCTGTAGCAGAGAGTTGTTTCTCCATCATTAGTGCATTTAGCAATGAGTACATGAGGATGATTGACAGCGATCAGACACTTCTCCTGGCTGTTTTTGGTTGGGGGCGGTGGAGGAGATTGAGTTTTTCACAGATTATCTGTCTCATATTATACTGTTGAAACATTGTGACATTTTTAACAAATAAGCATAAAAAACATTTTTTTAATAAAAGTTAATTGCACCTTTAAAGTTTGGGTTACATGTCTGAACAGGGACAACTGGATTTACCTGGATGTGAACTTGATTTGCTTTGAGCTCCTGGTTTTCTTCCTTTGCTTTTTCAATCACTCCTGAGAGGAAATTAATAACCTGCTGCTCATCAAGGTCATCTGGACCAAAGTCGCTCCTCTGGGTGAAATAAAAGTCTTTTCAGTTCATACAATCAAAGCAGTATTTTGAAATGATCCTGTTTTTAATTTGGACTTTATGCTTACAGGACCTCAATCAACAATGAATTTGTGTCAAATCTGAAAAAAGTAATTCTAGTGTGAAGGCAACAGCACCACAGTGCTCCAAGTTGTTTCCTTGATGCTTTTAAAGGGGACTTGTTATTCAAAATTCATATTTTGCACATTTTCTTACTTCCATTTGGGTCTCAGCTGCTTCTAAAATAGCCCACGCGCTGTTTTCTGGTAATAAGTTTACCTTTTTTTGGTGTCTGGAAAACAAGGCATTTCAAAAACCTCCCAAATGTTAAGTCACAATTGACAGGCACTGCGCTGTTACCTAGCAACCCCAGCTGAGCCTCAGCCCCGTTGCCTAGCAACCCAAATGAAACTCGATCATGTTTGGTTTTACTGCTGTATGCGCTGTGCTGCAGCTTCTGGAAAAGACAAGTTTTTTGTTGTTGACAAACCATTCAGAAATGATGTTTGTACAATGTTCAAATAAAAAAAGACTAAAATAAAACAATAAGTGACAAATCTAGTGACTTTTTTTCTGTGTTTGCTGGAAGGTTTTAGTGAGATGGTTTTATACTGCGTGACAAAAAGCTGCACCGTTTTAAAGAATAGGAAAATTCAATTGCTTAGGCATTGTTTAACCAAAGGGGCCAGCACTGACATGGTTTTAGGCAAAAATAATAAAGAACTAAACAAATGTACAAGAAAATATCAAAAGTTGTACAGAAACATAAAGCTGGAACCCTAAATAACCTACCTAGACATTTTATCAGCATGTGAAAGTTGATTCAAGGGGTTAGTTACACTCTAAGCTTCCTGTTCCCTCAGCGGTGAGGTGTGTATTAACGAACCTGCTTTGTTAAATGCTCATCTCTGATACGTTGCTCAAGTAGACCCCTCACCTCCGGGTGTTCAATCCCTCTGGTTTTCTCCACAGTTTTCTGCCTTTCCTGAATCTGGACCGTGCCTCGAGGAGAGATTGGTAAAACGGATCGTTTACACATCACAACAAAGGTCTGTAACTGCAGGTCTGCACATGTTGAAGTATGGAATCTGGCGTTACCATAGAAGTGTCCAAAGCCCATGCTGACGGCGATGATGAGGGCGACCAGGATGCATCTTTTGAGGACGTTCCCGCCTCGGCTTTGCTCTTGGTCCTCGTTAGCAGCGTTCGGTCTCCCCTCCACCCAATCAGGCTGCTGCTCTTCCTCACTGGACTGCGACTCTGGCAGCACCTCCTCGTCCTCCTCTGGATCAGTCACAACGCTCGTGGTATTTTTCCTAACCCTTCGTCTTCGTACCACCGGAGTGGAGCTTCGTCCGACCTCGTCGTCGCTGCTGCTTGAGTTTGTCACCGCTGGCTGCTGCGCTGGGAAAGCTGCATTTCACATCAAACAGATAATGACAAAGAAGAAAAGACACCAACGCACATGACCCCAAAATTTGGGGTCATAAACTTCAGATTAAAAAAAAATATATGAAGTTTTTTTTAAATCACACAGGCTTCGGAGAAATAAAAAAACATCTGAGAAGTTTAACCTGTTATTGCATAATATCAGCTAGCAATATTTTCTAACATCCTATTTTTGTGGGATAATGTAAACCCATTGCAGGCTTTTAAAAGGTAAAATTATCCATGGAGCAACAGGTCATAATGAGTTAGCAGAAAAACACCAAAGAGTAGTTATATGTAGTACTTACATGTCAGTAAAAATTAGAAAAAGTTCAGAGTATCAATTAAGGGTAGGCATTTATTGTAATGTTTGTTATTTATTGTGACAATTTTATGATGATAAGAATTTTTGATTTATCTGTGTCTCAATACATTTCAATTAGTGATGCTAAAAAAAATAACCTTAAATAATTGGAAATTAGATTTTTTTTTACCATTTTCTCTGCTGTTTGTTCCACAGGAGCATCAGTAAATATCAGTACATTTTAAAAAATGACAAAATACGGTTCCTGTGAGCAACTGTTTGAGGTTCACAGCCATACAGTTGAATAATAAATAATTTTCCATCATCATTTTTGTTGTTATTACGACAGTTCATATCGTCTCATCTAATATCAGCAGGAAAGTGAATAAAGATAAGAGATAGCAAGAGGAGATCACTTTAGGGAAAAGATATAACAATTTTTAAGAAAGTTTATTGGATTTTCTAGTCTGTCTGCAGGGTTAAAAATGATAATGACACAAAAAGTCACACTCATGCCTAAGATCTGCTCATGCAATCAAACACTAAAACTACCAGCCCACATCTCTCAGGCTTTTGAAAGGCACCCAGTGTTAGTTTGGTATGCTGCTAAACAAGGTTAGCATCACGTTACATTCATTTTGATTTAAATCAGGAAACGAGCCACTACCAGGGAGCCGACTCCTCAGGCGGTGACTCAAGTTCACCAGAGTTTGTTGAAGTTTCCAGCGACTCAACAACAAACCTGCTCCAGAAGAGGAACATTTGGTGTTTGAATCGTTGCTGTCGACTGTTGAGGAGGGATTTAAATTATTTTCCTGAAGAAAACAATGAGGTGTGCAGTGAGTCTTACCCGTCTCTGCAGCAGTGAAGGCGTAATGACTGCTGCTGGAGGTGCCGAGGTAATTCTCCTCAGTGCTGGCTGCCTCCTCCTCTTCCTTCTCCTCTGCGTGCTCGTCCTCCTTCAGGTCCCTCAGAGTCACAATGTCAGAGTGATCACTGGAGGAGAAGACCTGCTCTCTGACTGGAGAACCACCTCCAGCCTGCAGACAGACATGAAACTATAATTCTGAATTATTCTGATATTTTCTGGGTATAAGTTCAGCTCCTCTCACCTCAGAACCGCACAGTGTCTCATCTACAGCCCGTTCTCCCAGTGTGTCGTCAAGAGAATCAGCAGGTGTATCTTCAACACACAGAGCTGGTAAAAATGTAAAAAGAAGAAAGTTCAGTATGATTAGAACAAGCCTTGGAAAATAAAATCTGAATCAGCTTTATTAGCCAAGCTTGTGCACAGCAACTTGTGCGAAGAAACTTTGGCAATTAAACAAAAATTTATTTAACCAAAATACAATGCTTAGATATAACTTCACAATTAACTAAAATTAAATACAAGATAAATATAGATGTCCATTTTATATGCATAATAAAAAAAACATATAAACACAACACAAATAAAGCTAAAAAAAAAAGAAACTAAACAATGTTGTTTAAAACTGAAAACGGGAGGCAAAAGTTAAAGTTACATCAGACAAAAAATTTTACAAGGTAAATTCTCATGATTTAATAGTTCAATTGCATGGTTCATAATATATTAAGAATTCATGTTTACTCAACTACATTGGCAAATTCAGAATTAAAATTTAGCAAAAAGAGATGCAAAATAAAAAACGTTTTTGCGCATCGTTTATATTCTATATAAACTGGTAATTAGTAAAATGCTCATTTTAGAGACAATCCACCAATTAATAGTAAATAAAAAGGACACCATCACTCTGATATCACCTGCTGTTGTCTCACTACAGCAGGTGATATCACTGAAGGCCGGGGATTAACATGAAAACAGCAGATTTATTGCCTCAACAGTTTCTGTCACCCTGTTAAAAGTATTTCTGCTTTTTATTATTTATAACCATTGAAACCAGCACTGCTATCTAAAGGACAGCATTTAGTCAGATTTTTACCAGCAGATACTGAGGTTTGTGATTCCAGCAGCTGTGGTTCTTCCAAAGTGGGCCGCTCCACCAGCTCAGCTCCATATTCGCCCGCAGCCTCCGATCCCAGTGTCTCTATATCTGAGCCCTGCAAAAGCACATCAGAAATACTGAAAAACTGGAAATGATGAAGGAATAGCATAGTTCATACTTTGTATGTGTACAGTTATAATAATGCCTGAACCAATTTTAACTGTAAATGTAGAAAAAAAAAGACAAGACCAGGAAATTTTAAACTCGATTATCCCCAACAGGTGACCAGATGGTCAGAAAACACTGAATTCTTTTATAAATCTATAAAACTGTCTTTGTTGATCAGTATCTATGTTTCCTTCAGACTGTGAGATAACAGTAGAGAGCAAGACTTAGAGCAGAAAATAGGAAGGCTAAGCAGAGGACAGCAAAGATGCCCTGCTTTCTCTTTTTAATATTTCTCTCCTTGGAACATGACAACTTCTGAAATGTTGGGAATCTTTGGGAAATCTCATATTTAAACTAAGAATCTATATAAAGTAATACACAAGGGGTTTACTCTTTTCTAAAGCTAACTAAGCTAACCATACTAATTTCAAATATAAGACACTAAAACCAGTTTAAAATGTTAACTCCATAATTATGTTGACTTGTTTTAAAATATTAGTAAAACCCTGTTTTACAGTGAATGTTTTCAAATACACGTACACATCCTATAGTTGTGTGGTAGCACACAACTATTAATGAAAACTCATAGCAGGTAGGTTAAAACAAAAATATTTGTAATACTGTTTTATACACACACACACACACACACACACATATATATATATGTTGGTTCTTGATGTGAGATCAGAGGTCAGAGCAGTCTTCGATACATCGTCCACAAGAATCTGATTTGTGCCTCTCTAATTGAGACTGAGCAACCATATGATGCATGTTACTAAATACTATTTTTATAACAAGAGCATACCTCATTACTGATAATGGTCCAGCCACAGGAGGACTCAGTGTCACTTGATGTTTCTGACATGTTTGTCAGCAACAACCAAGGCTGTAACGAACAAATAAAGGGTAAGCTTTCTGAAAAAGATGCTACTGGAATAGAAAACATTAATAAGCATTTTATTTTAGCATCTAAATAAATTACAACCACACGGGTGAAACTGCGGCCTCATGCGGCGTTGGGCGGCATTACATCTACAAGATTATGCGAAGCTACGCAGCCAGACAACAAAAACAACCATAAAAATCTCAGATATCCGCAGCTAGTTCTGGAGCTAGTAACTACAGAACCCATTACTGCTGCCTCTTAACACAAAATAACGACATTCAACTGATTATTTTCCATTGCTTAAGTCATTTAACATATTTATTATTAAAGTCACCCCCCAAAACACAAACACAACATGCAATTACTGCGATGCGGACAACGCCCATTGCTTTTTAAATATGATTCATCCTAGCCTGCTTCTGCATGTAAAGATGCATGTAAAGAAATAAAATTTGCTTGATTTACCTGTGTTTTGTGCGCAGCGACTACACAGCTGTTTGCAAGCTGCTCCACAGTTGTTGCAATATTGCCAAAACCCGAGTTATCCGTTAACGGCTCACTGCGGAGCCGACGTTATTGGGAAATGTAGTTTTTGAGTCGAATTACTGGAGAGGTACATTGTGGTTCTTGAAACCTACAGAACTACATTTCCCTTGAGGCAGCGCGGCGGCCAAACTGGCTCAACGAGGACGCTGCAAGCCAATAGCAAGCAAATTTTGCGGCGGCGAAAAAAACATAAACAAGGAAGCGTGACGAAAAAGGCTGCTTACGTCGTTTAATATGAGCTCTAGACAGAAAAACAGCACCTTTCCTGAGCTTCAGAGACCAAGTTATAATTATTCCACAGTTTAAGATACGCCCAAAAACACAAACAACTTAAACTACACGAACAGCTAGCTAATTGGGGTAATTTAGCATGTGAATGTGCTAAATTAGTATTTTATATTTCTCCATACCGAATAATTACAGGCATACATTTAGTTTGTCATTAAAATTACCCTAAAATGAAGACTCGTCAAACTTACGTCCAGTAGTGATTTGTTAAACTAAATGTAGGTCCACTGTGAAAATAGAAGCTGGGTAAATGTGTAAGGATTTTTCAAAGCCAAAACCAAATAAAAAAGCTGATTCTTGATTACATCACAACTAGAATCGAGCTGCATTTATAATCCTAATGATAAATAACTTCTCACAAAGCTGCAAAACCTAAACTTTACATGTCTGAGTGTAGTTTTCTAATCTATAGGTAACATCACTGGTTGATGAAAGACATAATATATGAAACAAGCAGCAATAGCTCAAGATCTTTATTTATGTAATTGATTTGACCTATCCAGTCTATCCTGGTTCTTCTCTGTGATATTATGTTCAAATTGTGCTAAAATCCTTGCAATGTTCTCAAAATATGACTAAAGTAAGCAACTTTAATGAAGTGATTTCATTAATAACATGGAGGTAAAGAAAAAAAAGATACAAATGAATGTACTCCAGTTTATGCTTTAGATCACATGTGTCAAACTTGAAGCCTGTGGGCCAAATCTGGTCCGCTGTAGTTTTTATGTGGCCCTCTAAGTTCTAGACTGAATACTACATGTGCTTAAATAATATTTTATCAATCAAATCAATGCAATTTTTGTCTGTTTACTGCCAAATTATATCAATTAATCCCTCCAGTTTCTTGCAAGTTATCATGAAAATTCACGCAAAATCAATTATTCCCCACACTTTTTTGCACTAATATATAATTGGGAGATTAAGGCAGATTTTTCTTGAAAATTGTCAAAAACTTTCTTACTTGTACTAAACAGCTGTCTTTGCCTTAATTAATGCCACGATCTACAAAATCAGTAATAACATGTCACATTTACCATCATAAATAAGCACAAATATCACAGATATTTCCAAATTAGTACCACAAACTGTAAATTTGAATTTCATTGCAAAAAAAAAATCACAAAACAACTGTGAAATCCTGGAGGGGGACTGAAATTATATTCAATTTTATTATATAATTTTAAGAATTCATTGATATTTTAACAGTTTGTTAACAGGTTTCTATCAATACATTCTGGTACAACCGGCCCTTTAAGAGCATTCATGATCTTGATTTGGCCCAAAACAAAAATGAGTTTGATGCTCCTGCTTTACATGACGTCACCCTGGACACGTTTGTGCTGTATGTGAGAGCAGAAACTTTATCTTGATTAAATAACTAAATAGCTAAACTAGTAGAAAAAAAACTGTTTGTGACATTTTACTCTACAGGTGACAAATTATATCTAAAAGGAGTTTGATAGATTTTCTTTAGAAATAATGCCTATTTATTTTAAATGTAGCTCAAATCACCAGGTTTCGTACTATTAACCTGCAGTTCCAGTAGATGTCAGTAAATGTTAGCTTCATGCTCACAGGTCAGGACCACTCTGAGCAAATGTTTTTTTCCAGAAGCAGGCCGTAAATGTGATTTTTTTCTTTTCTATTGGTAAAGAAAACTAAAACAGGAAGTGAAATGATCAGCTCTGGATTTCATTCAAGCATCATTCACTTCTCTCACTTGGACTGTCTGTGGCAAAAATGTAGCTGTACAACCAAGAAGGCACAGATCTGCTCGTGTTTCACCAGAGATGTCAGTAACGCATTACTTTGTACTGACGCGTTACTGACGTCGGACCACTTTTTTTCAGTAACGAGTAACTATTTCAAATCCAGTAATCAGATTAAAGTTACTTAGCCAAATCACTGTGCATTACTATTTTCTTTTGTAATGTAATTTTATTTCTTCTATGCGTCGAGTGAGAGCATTGGCAGCCAAAGTCTAAACAAAAACTTCAAATGCCTTTGGAAGCTTGAAGAACGACAGATTGAGACCTCAATAGATTAGGTGATTTAAACTTTCTGCATAGTCATAAGTATCAACTGTGCAGAACCTCTTTTTATTCAGTACCTGATATCTTTCTATTGTTTTCTGCAGTAACAATTTATTTAAATAAAAGTGTTATAAATGCAAAGTGTCTAAATATAGAACTGTTTTCATCATGGCTAAGAAGAAGTAAATTTAAATTCAGGCTTAAAAAAATTGTCATTTAAGGCTTAAAGTAAATATTCTAGCATCCTTTCTCATCACTTTCTTTCAAAAGTATTTTTCAGTGTCTGTGTGCTCCCAAATTATATTAAAGTACATTTTACTGTGATCACTGTTAGATAAGTCATGATGATTGTTTGTGATGTTTTATTCATTTTAAAACCATGTTTCTTTTTGTTGTGTGAAAAACAAACATTTTTCCCTGAAATAAAAACAGTCTACCAAGCAAAATCTTAGCAGTTTAAGTGTAGAAAACAATTCTTATTAAAGATTATTAAAACAATCTAAAAACATAAAAGAGCTAAGCCAATTTAAAAACAAAGTAAAGAAACACACCTCAGAGATTTTTGTAATTTTATTTAAACTGAGAATCAGACTTTTTCATAAGGCAATTGTCTAAAATTTTCTTTCTAAACAATTTTGAAAAAAAAAAATCTTGTAATTTTATGACAAATACATAACAAAACAATAACAGAAAATATCAAATAACATACTAATTACAAAAAGATACATTCAATTTCAAAGCTTGAGACCTGTGTTTTTGAGGGGAAGCGGCTGTGGATCCCCCTGAGTCAGACTGTAAATGACCCACAGCGCTCCACGGCTCAGAAAAGGGAGAAAACAGAGAGCGCGTCACGTCCACTCCGTGCTTTATCCCTTCAAATTCACATAATCGGACAGGAACATCATTCCAACATAACACCTTTAACAAGAAAGAGCAGCAAACCTTCTGCACTGAAACAAACAAAACAAGAAGATACAACAAACAAATGAGGTAGCACTTGTTCACCTGCATGAGATTTAAAGACCCAACTGTGAACCACGTTTAATGACAGCTGGACTTATTTCAGCCTTGTTTTTAAAAAAGCAGGATGAAATCTTTATCACTGCATATCACTTTCTTACAAAGATGTAAGGTTAAAAAATAAATAAAAAAAGCTGTTGTCAGATTCTAGATTGGGTCTTTAAGTCACAAATACATGAAATACAAAGACACTGAAGTTACAACTGAAACAATCTGTCTCTGTTTATCTTAGTGGAAGAACAACAGCACCTTATCCTGATTTAAAACTAACAAAACATTACTTAGGTGGAAATAAATCCAGTCTCCAGGTTGCTCTCTTATAGAAAAAACATCATAAAGATATAAACTGAGCATTAAAACACTGATAATATCATTTGACACAAAGATAGGATGTGTATAAACTGAATTTGGGCCAATGTGCAGCGGTGAGGATTAGGAAATAAATCTTTGGTTCGTATTGTTTGCCTTTCAAAAGAAATTGAAACTGATTGTGTCACTTCTCATCTCATATGATTGAATCCTCTGCAGAGTCCTCTGATTAACGCCACAGAAGCATGGCAACGTTTGAGCACCCACTACGTCTACAAACAAAACTCCAATTACATTTTGTGACTCTCAAAAAAGATGCATTATCAAAATATAGACAATAAATCTGAATATAATGACACATTTGTTCTTTTTTTATTTAATAAAGTATTCTCTAAATTATTCTGTAAAGGAGACAATTAGTAGGTGCACATCTACATGCACCTGCACTGCTGCAACACAGACTGCTAATCAATATAATATAACATATTTATCTCTTAATATCACCTACATCTGTTTGCAGCAGCTTATGAGGAACTCTGCAGAAGGAAAATTTGGTCAGCGTGCATAATCTTGATTATTAGAAGTCACTCCATGAAGCTGGACACTTCCTCAGAGTTTCAACCCACAACCTCCAGGACTCTTTGTCGCGGGCCAAGGCCACCAATGTGCAAGGCTTTGTTTGAGGAGCAGCCCCTCAACTGATCCCTGAAGCCACTTTGGTCTCCTTTGATTATTTCTCTGTCCTCCAAAGATCAGCCGAGAGGCCAGAATAAACTCAAATAAATCAGCAAACAACTCTTTGGGTATTAGCGTCACGGTCACCGCTGCATATTCACCTTTAACATAAACTACGTGGCAGACAAGTGCTAATCTTCACCTACGCTAGCAGAGAAAAAACAAACTACAAAGTAACTACAAGGTGTACTCCTCTGAAGTACATTATCTTCTAAGAAAAATAGATTCTTTAGAGGTAAAACATTTTATGGTGTTCATTCTTCACTTCAATCTCTGATTAAACACTTTCCACCGCTTCCACTACAATCATTCTTCATGTGTCGCATCCTCACATGGAGCGGCTCCCTCACCCGGACCCGGGACGCCGCCCACATTAAGGCCAATTATAAAGCTTTTCTGTTCAGATATGCCACTGCAAGCACTTCTGGTGTGAATGTTTGCACAAATCAAGTGAACACTGGCGCTTGTAAAAACAGACACTGCAAAAGGGGAGGGGAATCTATCTAACGTCTGAGCGGCGTGCTCACAGCGTCAGAGGTACATTCAATACATTTTCAGCTTTTTCTCTGAAGGTAATAAAACATTAAAACAGCTTAGTACTGAGAAGATACCCTGTCAGTT